TTCAACATAACCGAGACCGATATCCTAGTAGAACCGCGGAGCCCCAACAGTGCTTTTTCTACAACCATGTCGACTGCACTTCATGTCTTCCGACTTCGTAAAATCTGGGCACGTCTCCACGCGTCTTTGTATTCGGACATGTACAACATGGACAATACAACCCATGACGATCGAATTCCTCTATTTCGGGCAGAGATTGACGCTTGGCTTGCCTCCACTCCTCCCATACCGCCACGGACTGGAGCTGCCTTGTCAATCCTCGCAACCCAAGATTGGTATGATCTCAGTCATAGCGAGACTATTATCATGCTCTACCGAGGTCGCTTGATTGATCGTCTAGGGGGTGCCAGTGATGACGTATTCCTGCAATGTGCTCGTGCCGCCGAGAGCATCTGCTTGAAGAATAGGCGGTTATACGTTGCGAAGCCAGTAAATTGCACCTGGGGTACTCTTCACGTCATCTTCTCCGCTGGACTAACATACCTTCATTGTCTATGGACATCGGCTGCCGTTCGTCACCGAACCTCACTCAACGAGATGAGCAGCACCCTCACAAGTTGCACGATGGTTCTAGCAGTGATAGCTGAACGGTTTAAGGGCGCCGCTCCCTACAGAGACATCTTTGAAGCTCTTTGTACCCGTACTAAGGAGATGATGGTAGACGATGGTGGTGAGCAGTTAGGTGTGCAGATATCAACAATGGATCCATGCTATGTAATGCCGGGCAGGTTCACTCAGTGGATGGCTGAAATCTCAGATGCAGGGATACCAGATACAGTTGATAGTCTCCTAGCTGGTCTAGTGTCAGATTGTGTAACTTATGAAGGGATTGGGGAACTGATATAATTAACTATAACTTTACCTATATTATCTCTGCTTTAGCTATGTAGCCAGGTTTATAAATGATAGCTTAGGCACGCCACAGCCACAGCTCACCCGGTCCTCACCCCATGTCAGGCGCACCACCCGACCCCTTTCAGGTGTTGGAAAGCCTCTCCTGATATACAAGCCCAGGTGTCTGAAATCGTGACTCCATCTCAAGACAAGCCGAGACCTGTGGCTGAGAGCTTATATCACTGCGTAGAACTTAGTTTCCATAGTGCAAAAGAATTACCCCGGAAATAACAGATGGGGGCCTCACAGAGCCCCGCCGGACGACGGATTGGAAAATTGCATTGCCTAGAATATTATTCAGGGTTCAATTACGAAACAGCGTGTTCGCCACCCATTCTCCGACCTGATCTTTAGTATCATTTTTCTATCGAAATTCACTCAATACCTTTGCGGAACTCTACCGTTATTCTATGCGTTGCGCCCAACATCTCTTATTGGGCCTTGCAGTATCCAGATGAGCTAGTTAATTGAGCGGGCCATACTGATCGTATGGTCTTTCATCAGAGGACGGCCAGTACAGAAGAAATAAAAAAAACTCAATATCTACCTACCCGATATAGAACTTTTAAGAGACCAATACCATACAACCAAACAATCTCAAAATGATGAATTTATCTTTCAAGCATTGACTACCCACAAAGTTGTTCAGGGGGAAAAACATTCACGGAGATGAGACAGTAAGCCAATCCTGGGATGCTATGCTAAGATGCTACGACTGACCTCAAGCCATCCAGGTGTACCTATGAAGTCGTGGCTACGTTCGAATCGACAAGACCCAGCACTCTCGAGCCTGCTTGGACAAGGGAAACTTCACCAGATGAACTAGATTATGTTGAAATATTTAGCTTCTTCAACTATCCTCGCCTCACGGGCAGCGCCTTCCAGGGCCGAGGTCAAAACTTTGAGGTGATTCAATTTGGCAATCTTGCGTCCGGCTTAAGCTTTTCAGAACCAATCCTCGAACAAGACTGGCTAGCTTTTGAAGCTCCACCGGATGGAACCTTTTTTAGAGACATTGATAGGAGCATATAGCGACGACGATGTGAATGACTATTGTTCTATAATAAGGTTAAGCGGTTAAAAGAGGCTGTAGAGTAAGTACAAAGGTAGAGAATATAAATTCATATATATCGGTAATATAATTTTTGTTTTTATGTTCAAAGTAGTGAGGCACTGCCTCCAGACCTAATGTCGAGGTCTCTCGTATGTTGGCTGGCGCTTGGCTGTCTCCCTATAAGTATAGAAGGTTTGACAGGCTCTCGATACCTTAGTTTGAATTATTTTAATATTTTATTCCAAGGTACTTGTAGTTGGGAACTATCAATATTATTTCTATCCTTTTGCCTTAAAGATAATGGTATTATCTGAGAAATTTCACACTAGTTCAGCTACCTAGACCAACTAAAGGGCTACCACTAGCCGGGTCAAAGGTATACCAAGCTTTGAATGCAGAGACACCCGCAGCTTCTCCTGGATTGATAAACCCCTTGACAGCAGGCTCACTGCTGGGAGATGGAGGCGGAGCTGCAAATCTCATTGCCGTGCCCTGAGGGTCAACGTGGGGTCCAACTTGGACTCCATGTGGCCACTGAAAGATATTTTTGTTATCCCAGTATGCCTTGATGCTCTGCAATTCCTCTCGATTAACACCATAGTATGCCTTTTCGTATGTGTCTTTGTCGAGAGTTGCATCCGGGAAGTTGACATACACACCAAGCCCGTTCATGGAGTATTTTCTCAACGCCTCATTAAAACCTGCAAGGATTTGTCTCATCCTCTTCTCTAACCACTTATCCTTCCACTCAATCATGATATATGTGTGATAGACGCATCCACGCCATGGATAAGCAGAGTCATGGGGGCCCTTTTCGCTGGATTTGCCGCCGGAATGAATCCAAGAGACTCTGATTGAGCCTTCTTCGCCTTTGAACTCTCCTTTGAAAGCTACCAACTTTTCTTTCAGAGTCTTGATTATCTCGGAAATATTATCTTTGACGCTTGTCTTTGTAAAAGAAAAAGAGGTGTAGATCCTGAACATCGCATTTGAAGGCAAAGCTTTCTGGGTTTCTTCGGACCACTGAGCTACAAGAGTCTCGTGAAGAAAAAGGGTTGAGTTTTCCTGCAGAGTCCGATCCTTGAGCTGTTCTGCTAGCGATTTGTCTCCCTCACCAACCTTCCCGCAATCCCCGAGACGGTCATCGACCTCTTTGTCAAAGTCTTCCTCTAGTCCATTATAGTAGACCAGAAATCGAACAGAAGGATCTTCGCGGGCATCTTTGAGGTCCATCAGCCAACTGCTGTCAATCGTCATGTTGTTGGTCCAGCCAGCAGTATAGAACTTTGTCATCGCTTCTGTAAAAGCCGTCTGGGACCCAGGGCAATGAGACGGTGCCCAGGTATAAACTCCAGCAACCACATAATCGTGGTGCAGTTTTTGAACCTTCATCTTGAGCTGGGTGACTACCCCGAAATTATTACCGCCAGCACCACAAAGGGCCCAGAAGAGCCTCTTCTTCTCGGGTTCATTGTCATCGTGGCTGACTTGAATGATTCCATGGTCTGGAGTGACGATACGAGCCTCAAGAAGTGTGTCGCTTCCCAAACCGAAGCTTCGAGTAAAGGGCGCGAGGCCTCCACCCAGAGTGAAACCGCTGACTCCGACACTAGGACAACGCCCTCCATTGATAACCAATTTATCATGATGGTCGTTAATCAGTTCGTGATAAGCATGAGCCCAAAGTGCGCCTGCATCCATCGTGATGGTCATGTTGTCAATGTCGAGGTCGACGCGCTTCATATTAACCAGATCAATCGAGATGCCGTTATTGATGGAAGAGAACCCGGCGTATGAGTGGCCTCCATTCTTGATTCGTATAGGTAAGCCTACACTCTTAGCTCGCTGAACGATGATGCGAACATGGGATTCATGCTCGGGTTGGATGACACATCCTGGTCTGTCGAAGCGGTAGAGGAGGTTCGCGTTTGCGACAGATTTCTCGTACTCGAGATCTCCAGGAGTGTAGACTGGGATCTTCTTCCCTCTGAAGAATCCTACTTGTTCCATGCAAAGCTCGAGGAGACGGATCTGTCTCTCTTTCTCTTCCTTCGTCAGCTGAGGTAGTCCAGATCTTTGAGTGGCCATTGTGTCTAGCTGTAGTGCGAAACGAGAGAAAAATGTGCTTGTAAAGTTCTTCCAGATTGAGGTGTAATATCAGTGGGCTTCTTTGTCTGGCTCCTTGCATTGAATACAATCAGAAGATGAGCTTTTATAGATGATTCGGTAGGCCGAGTCGCGCTCTGCAGGAATGCTCAACGCTAAACGCCTCATGAGCTACATTAAGAATGTTGCATATATCACATTCCATCACATGTATCATAAGCAATGTCTCAGCGTATGTCCATAAGAACGACACTATGTAGCCGCTCTTGCTAGGGTTTGCCTCTATGCAGAATCTTGGCTCCTGGCGCTAGTGAATATGGGCAGATCAATAGTCTGATCTAGACAACTGATAATCATCGCCATCTTTCCAACAGACCAATAGGAGTAGTATAATGAGGTTCGGAGGAGTCCGCTCAGCCAGCCCGGGTTTGACAGCTTCGACAACCCCTCATTTTTCAGCTAGCCACAATTAATTATAGTCGCCACCAGAGAGGGCCGGCCCATAGGGTACCGAAACGACCTCTGTTTTTGTGGACCTTGAATATTTTACTTTCGTACATCTATTTCGCCGAGATGTGGAAGTGGCTGGTTAAATGAGTTCGTCACATTTATAACCATTCTAGTTGGTTTTAGTACTCTTGTACGTGAGATATCTGTGTAGAGTTCAGGTTGGAGAGATAACCTTTAGATTACAAAGGCCATTTAGCAACATTCTCTAATTTTCTGTGAGCACAACCTTAATTGTCATGGAATAAATACTTGAGTTCACCCTCTTATTCTTTTTGTCTTTTGACTTTTCCGCCATTTATCCGATCTTCTTTTCAATAAGCTCAGCACCCGCCGTCAAGTCGTTCCCATCCTCACATACCATCGCCACTATGGACTCTCAGCCTCCCCTCACCTCACAGTAGTATTGTTCGATCACCAACAGTCTTTTTACTCCGCCATGTCGGCCGTGCGAAGTATATGCCCACTTCTTCGTGATATCCCACTGGAGGTGCTTGCCGAGAAGTACAACGAAACCCTTAATCATGTTTACGACAAATGTCTCCAAAATGAGATAGCGCACGAATACCACGATGCAGAGAAAGTCAAGCTCTTTTTCAAGAGTCTAGACCTTGAAGAACCAGGCTCCCAACGCATCGAGCATTTTCGGAATGTGTACAAAACCGCATACAGAAAGAATCGAAGCGTTATGCCGGGAAGCATCCAGATTCTGGCTGGACTTGGAGAGAATGGTTATCGCACTGCTATTATCACGAATGGCCCGACCGAAAGCCAGATAGAAAAAGCTAAAGCCATTGGTGTCTTCGATCTCGTTGAATACATCATCACGTCCGAAGAAGCTGGAAACCCCAAGCCTGACGTCAGGATATTCCAGTATGCGTTGGAGAAGCTGGAGTTGAAACCATATGACGCGTATATGGTTGGTGATTCTGTCGAGGCTGATGTCAAGGGTGCTCTCGATGCGAGAATAACGCCTATTCTGTACCCCCCCTCTTCCAACAGCTCCTTGGAAGTGTTATTTGGAAGGGAAATTCCGGTTATCCGTCAATTCGACCAGCTGCCGCTGGTTCTGGTGCTCCCACTGAATTCTATCTTGAACCGAGTTTACCCACACCAAGGCAGATGACGATCTGGTTATAATGACCACACAAGATTAAGTGTGTCTGTTGAGTGGACCATAAGTAGTCTGATCAATACAGCGCTTGCTATCATCAGGTAGCCCATGAGAGCTTGCTGGATTGTAATATTAGTTATACTAGGTTGTCATTTTGGACGTTGATTGTACTTTTACAAAGAAACCTTACAATATATTTACGATCCCAGCTTGTACCTCTAACTATGCAAAGCTAAGACCACTAAATAATGTCAGCCAAACTTTTCTCTTACAAGCCTCTCTATCCACGCCCAAACTGTACATATATTCGACTCCTGCGTCTACATCCGTCTACCGCCGTTTGCAACCCTCTTACGGGGGATCTCGAAGACTACCCACTTGGCAATGAAGAGGTTGGCATGTTTGAAACACTGTCTTATATCTGGGGAGACGCATTCGTGTCTGAGTATATGGTTCTAGGAGGAAAAAGATTTTCAATTCGCCAAAATCTTCATGATGCCCTTCGTCGTCTTCGACTCTCTAATGCACCGAGGATCCTCTGGGTAGATTCGATCTGTATCGATCAATTGGATAATACAGAAAAGTCGGCACAGATCCCATTGATGGGCCAAATTTATTCAACCGCCCGATCTGTGATTGTATGGTTGGGTGAAGATTTATCTCCAGAAATGGATAATAGACTCCACCAACTATTCCTAGGGCTTCACCAGCTAGAACTTTACATCCATGGCGGAACGGTCGCCGCGCGTGGATCCTGCCGCCTTTATCAAAAGTCTTAGATGTCTTCAACCACGATGTTACGTCGACAACTACGTCAGAGACAATTGACATTACCTGTGAGGACATCGAAGTCTTCCTTAAGCGGCCATGGTTTTCTCGACGTTGGATCATCCAAGAATTGCATAACGCCAGAAACGTCACAATTTACTTTGGTTGTCACCAGTTAAGTTGGAAGGACTTCTCACTTGCTTTAGAGACGCTATCAACCTCTCTCGAGGAAGATTGTAATTCGCTGCAGGGGTTGTCGGCATACCGATTAATTATATGGCGAAAAATCTCGAAATTTGATTCAGTGTTGGAAAGCATTGAGAACTTCTATGACTTCGCTGGGATGGATGATCGAGACCGAATAGCGGCCTTTTTGACATTAGGGTGGCCTCATACATCCGTCGGCTCTGACTTCCTCGTCAACTACGCACAGTCTGTCGAAGAGAACTACATTCGATTCACTATCCATATGATCAAAGTCGGGAAATGTGCCGAAATTCTGCTTGCAGCAAGTCATGGTTACAGAGGAACAGTAGATGCTCAAAATCACCTACCCTCTTGGGTTCCAGATTGGCGGATTGTTAAGCGGCCAAATATTATATCAAGACCTTATGGCGATTTCAACGTACACATCACCGACGAAAGCAGTGTAGAATTTGTGGGCCGAAAAACGCATGTTTTCTCTCATGATCAACCAGTGGCCACGGATGGCGTCCATCCTGATACTATCCAACCCAAGTCAAAGATACAATGGTTAAAAGGCGATTTTATCTGCAACTTGGTGTCAGGGATTGGTATTCAAGATACGAATAAGCTGATTATGCGACGCTGTCGCGAATCAAATCGTTTTGCAATACTCGGCGGCGCGTTTAACCTTGCTGAAGTACTAGAGACCAGTTGGGAGAACTATATATCCAAGTTAGACAATCCCGCTGAGCAAAGATTTATTGTCAAATAAAAGGCACCAAGTTAAATATAGTCACTTGTCTGCCTCTAAATCAGTTCGACTCTAGTATATATACCTAGCCTAGGAATTATTGCGCAATGGTTTCATCTGATGACTTGGCCAAGGATGGCATAGTCTATAATTTGTAAGATCTCCCAGACCAAGTTTATAGCAGCGCTTTATCGGTGACGATCAGCGAATCCCCGCTGTTGTATGTTTTTGCTGATCTCAGCAACCCATTTTTGCAGGACATACCACTAGACGGCCACTACCCAACTTTCTAATACTTGGTTTCACTATTGCGGAGATTTTCAGTGGATGAGAACTTTGAAATAGCTGAGCTAAACAGCTGGCCTTGGCGCTAAGATCTTTAGCTATCTAAATAAGAGTGAAAGTAAAGCAAATTTATTCCCAAAGCCGCCAGGCAAAGTTTCAGTCTCGTTTATATATCTGACAAAACGGAAAGGCGGGTGCATTGGTGCTGTTATTATATATGATAATACCCGCATAACCTGTCCCCAATGGCCTTTTGTCTCTGGCTATCGTAAATTGACCCTACTCGCTAGATTGTATACCGAAAGAATGTTGCGTTATCGCCCTTTTCCCGCTCAGCCTGCTTTTCGTCTTCAGTATATAAGCTAGGATCCTTATGTGTAGCGTCTCGGCGAGCATTCTCACGGCGTAGGTAAATAGCCATCCAGATAGACAAAATCAATGCCATCACCTGGCAGCCCAAGAGAGTACCGAAGCCTGGGAAATATCTTGGAGCATCTTTGGTCATGAACAGATAGGATGCAATGATGCCGCCAAAGTTGCCACAGCTCACATTCATCGCGATGCCGACGCCTCGCTTGAGTGATCCACCGATGTTATTGCTGTTCCAGGCAATGCCCTGGGGAATAGATGGAAATATGCCCGAGGCGAGGAGGAAGCAGCCGAAGTAGCGAACTCCAGAATGGCGAACGGCTATGAGGAGAATGAGGCCAAGTCCACTGGTAGGTTGTCAGTAGGTAGCTACAAGTGTCAAGGTCCAATGGTTACTTACGCCATGGTGATGAATACAATCATGAATATTCCTCTCTGCTGGACATGGTCCGCCCACCAGCCAGCCACAACGCACACAAAACACGCGACTAAATAAGGAGGAGTACTCATAAGCTGGGCAGTTGTACTGGAATACCCGAGGTCGCGAATGATGGTGGGTAGAAAGAGAGAGTAGGAGTAGACCCCGGTAAATGTACCAGTTGCGATAAGCATATGCACCCAGATCTTCCAGTCTTTAAACGCATCCCAGACGTATTTCATCTCGAACTCTTCGGCTAGTCCCGATCGATCAAGCATCAAGCGCTCTTGGATATGTTTCCGCTCTGCGTCTGTTATAAATTTGGCTCGGTCAGGATAATCAGCCATCAGCTTGAATGAAGCCAGAGCCGTAGGCCACAACTGTTAACATCGATCTCAAGCTGGTATGTCAAATGGAACACGTACCGACTACTACAGTAAGAAGACCTTCGATGATAAAGATCCATTGCCAGCCGGCCAAGCCTGCCAGACCTCGCATCTCCATAATGCCACGGGCGAGAAAGCCGCCAAATATACCAGCGGCCGTCGCAGCAGAGAAGAAAATCGCCATGCGAAAGCCACACTCGTGGCGGCGATACCACATGGTGATACTGGAAGTGTTAGCCGACGATGCAAGAGTTCGCGATGGACAAGAGACGTACTAGTAGGCAATTCCCGGAAACAAACCGCCCTCTGCTAGACCAAGGAAGCTTCGTGCAGCCAACAGACCCGCGTAGTTATGCACTATACCCATCAGGGTGCAGCAGATGCCCCATACGACCATCATAGAAGGGATCCAGATCCAGGGCCTGAACCGCTTCATGCCCATGTTGGATGGGATTTCCGCTATGATGTAGAAGGGAAAGAATATGGCGAGTGCATGGTTGTACATTAGACCTGACATGTTGAGGTCTAACTCGAGGGTATCCAGACGAGCATTGCCGATGTTGGTGCGGTCGAGGAATGAGAGAAGGTAGAGTAGAGAGACGAATGGAATAATGGACCAGTCGATTTTGCGGATCAGTCTTTTGGTGTCGGCTTCGCTGAAGCCTGCGCCCTCGGCCAAGGACAGTTTCGCATTATCGGTCTTTTCAGCAATATTAACACTTGCTTTATCACTGCCTGCTGCGTCCTCCTTCATAGCGGCGGTCAGGTCAGAGACAAATTGGGGATAGTGGATGTATAGAATAAAGAAATGGTTTGGAGGCTGATCTGTACTCTTACGGTGAGTCTTCTTGGGTCGTATTTATACCCCATACAAGGCATGATCGTAGACATCACTGTGTTCTCCTCCCAAGACTGAAGATCTGATCCCCCACAGTCTAGATCATCTTGATGAGGCTAGACAGCTCTTGGCGATCTGGGGTAGTTGCAAAGAGGAGATATTCCGATTCGCCATAAGTAGAAAGCTTGGATTTAGACTTAAATTAGACTATCTTCATCCTGCTTTCCCCGCACGAAGCTAATCCTAGGTACAGCAGGTGCAATGTCAACCACTTGCAAACACGGCTTGCACGGCCCGAACACGGTCCGAGGAACGAAGCAATAGCCGAGCCGCTTATCTCTCAGCAAATACAAGCTTCTGGCAACTGATACCAAAGCGTTGACGTCACTGAAGAGAACAAAGGGGCAATTGGATCTAACTGAATTACGGCATGAATCTACGTACGACGAACATGTGTCTCAGGTTGTCTCCCTCTCAGAATTTGGAAGTGCCTTCGAATAAGATAAATACACAGGATGCGGACTTCAGTCGATATATTTGGACTCAGTTCTTGTTGCGTACCAAAATGCATATCCCCTATGCTGAGAGTATTTATAGGTGAATATGCGGTTCAAATATCATGGACGTATCAGTCTTCGGTTGGACCGTCCGAATCTCGGTGCGAACTATGCAGCGGTCACAGAATGCCTATTGCGCTTCAGGAGATACACTTCCCTTAACTACCAATTCCACTAGTGGACCATTGAGAGATACAGCGTAGCATGAAGGATATATATCATACTACCCAAAGACGATAGATGAAACACTAAAAATGTAGAGAGAAAGTCTGGAATCCATAGAAAGGCTGCAAGGACAGCAAGGAGATAAAAGCGCACCAGTAGTTTATTCACCGGCACCACTGATGAAGACGGGGACATGGCTGGGCTGCCCTCCAGTTTCAAAACCCTTGGAACCGTCACCGTTGGAATCGCTGAAGCCCCCTTGACAACCAGAACTGGGTCCACCACTGGAACCACCGTTGGAGCCGCCGTAAGCGCCACCACCGGGAGCTCCATAAGAGCCCGGGCTCAAACCACCATTAGATCCCCCTTGGGAACCTCCACTTGGACCTCTGGGAGAGCTTCCGTGAGGACCAGTCGAGTTACATTTGCCAACAGGAGAGCTACCAATGTGAGATTCACCACCATTAGGGTTGCTAGGGTGATAGATAGTAAAGCGAGGCGGTTATATCATAAGAAGAAGAGTTATACCAAGGGTATATAGAAAGGCACCTATAACTTTCGCCTTAATTATCCTGATATTGCAGACTGAGGGAATGGTGGATACAGGTGTTATTAGTGTTATTTGCAGCTAAGACTTGTGGCTGAGAGCTTATATCAGCATAGAGATCTTAGCAACTAAGAGGTGTTATTGATTCCTTGCACTAAGTAAGGGTTTCTCCCCTATCCACAAATGAGAATAACCCTATTTCTTCGCACCGCTTCGCATCATGGCCGACTGAGAAAACGTATCGATGAAGAAAGACATTGGAGTAGACATGAGTGGAGGGACTAGAGCCTCTATTCGCCTAGCCGTTGTAAGGAATGATGTTGCATGTGCTTCCAGAAGCGGAAGGACAATAATAAATAACTGCCTAGTAAGTGGTTTAGCTCTGACTTCCTAATGTAAATAAATATTCGTTAAATTCTGGCAAACCCACATTATTACTGATGTAGCTGTTCCAAGCACAACCACTGCAGCAGTTCAAGTTAGAAGCCGGCAGTGAGTTTCCAATAGTGCCATCCGCCTGGCACGCCGATGCAACGGAGGCTAGAGATGCCGAAGCAACGGCGGCGATGAGAGAAGTGAAGCGCATTGTTGGTCTGAGCAAAAGACAAGTAGGCGGATTTTGAATCTCTTAGATGCCAATGACAGGATTTACAATGCTTTCAAGTGATGGCAAGAGTAGTGATTGATGTGATATATATACCAAATTCTGCAAGGTAGATCCACATCTTTGGTTTATCTGCTTTTCTTAGAATACGGCGTCGATGGACTCTTTTTTTTACTCCAGAAACTGATGTTTATGATGATTAGTGGGCCCGTTACATTATTTAACTTTCGCAACTCTGCGGACAGCGTACATTGATCCACCGAGGTTCCGGTAATACATTACATTGTATCGCGACGGGACCGGATAGAGTTCTTCTCCTGCCTACGTGAAATCAAGCCTGGCTTCAAATCTCAACTAACTTTTCTCCGGGGTCTAACTGTAAATGGTTACACCGCTACATGTTGAATCCATTTGCCTTTAGCAGGGAGTCAACTGAATCCGTGATATCCCGCAGCGCAAAGTCAGTTCGGTTGCCCGCCATCGTAGGGTTAATCTTGTTGTCGTAGAACAACACGCTCGAATAAATACGATCGCCAAGCTCATGCGCAGAAGTCTGACTAATAGCCGCCGAGGCAGGTTCCAGCTTCCTTTCAATACTCTCTATGAAGCCCAAGAACTTGGCAGTTTTCCAGCCATCCTTCGAGCTGAACACAGAGACCCCAGTTGTGTTCTTAGCAATGACATCTTCTGCCATCAGCAAAACCTTTCCGCCGTACCTATGAGGTAGGCTTAGAGAAGCTCCACCGGAAAAGTTGCGATAGTTTATCTGTGAGATAACAACCGGTGAGCCATGGCCACTGTGGATAGTGAACCTGACGAGCTGATGATTGGTGTTGTCGCTGACGATGAGATTATCGCCGACGCGCACCACGCCTCCAAACCCATATGGACGCGGAGAAGTGGTTGGTTCGCGGACGTAGAAAGGTGAAGCTCTATCCTTGCAGTCAATGCGGAGGATACTAGATGGATAACCACCATTAACATAAAGATCTCCAGAAGGGCCATTATCAAGGTCAATAAACGCCCCGTACTGGCCCTTGGTGGTAGCCGTTAGGTTAATCTTCTTGATTGCAAAAGTGTTCAGATCGACCTTGACGATAAAGTTATCGCCGCTCACATCGTTTCCCCCACTTAGGAAGAATTCGTCAGCCTGTACGACAGCAGACAGAATGTTGTTTGTGGGGTCGATAATAGTCCCAGAGAGTCTTTTATCAGAAGCTTCCAAGCCGCTGTGGCTAATTCCGGGGATAGAAATGACTCGCTGGATCGATGAGCTGTATGGGTCCCAGACGACGATACTCGCGTTGTAGATCGAGCTGTGATGCAAAACGGTTAGATTAGCCTAGGGCTGATCATCAAACGTCGTGGGCCAACATGCCTGAGGTACAGAACGCAACGCTGATCATCCCACCGATAGAAAGATGGATAGAGTTGGAATTCATTGCGAAACAGTATATCGCCAAAAATTGGGGGGCACCTCGAAGTTGCGTGCTTGGAAGCAGAGGCTGCTGATATCAAGGAAGCAACAAAGAGGGTAAGTATACTATACTTCATACTGAGTTATCTTACACAGCGGCGCTTTAAAACTGTATAACACGGATGCGAGATGTGTTTAGAACGTTTTAAAATTCAGACATTGCCTGCAGAGTACGGAGTATAAGAAGTAGTAATTGTATATGTTGGGCGCGTAACTTTCACGGAAAGTCCGGAATGCTAAACTTTGAACGTGCGTCACCGAAATTATGCAACGAATGCCGGCCCTGGAAATTAATTACCAGACCCCCCTGCTCAATGCACTATCTGCCAGATGAGAATGCCGAAACTCTATTACCTACAGAAACTATTGCACTCAGAAGGTATACTGACAGCTTTCGTCAGCGGCAAAGAATACGGATTTGATGCTTCCTTAAGCATCGATAAAAGAGTCTGCCCTGCCACTATGACGGAGACATGCGATGATTATCCTGCTGAAGGAACCGAATAAGGATAGTTATACTATTACAAATGCCTGGCCACCAATACCACTGTTTTTAATGCCGAGGCAACTATTTATCAGCCACTGTATAGAGCACGACTTCCAGTTTCCAGTCCATGGCTACTTACAACCTGCTGGTAGGTTGGGTAGGTATGTAGCTGTACCTAAAGTGAAACTCATTGCTCTGTAGCAAGGCAATGTCAGGGGCGCCTTGACGTGCAAAACCCTTAAATGGTTGCCGTTCAGAGCTCCGGAACTGAACCTGGTATGAATGAAAGTGAGATAGCAAACTTGACGGAGATTGCAACTTCGGACTTGGAAGCCAGCGCTGGGATTGTTGCTCCGTCGCCAGATTCATTTCTGGGAACCTCGAGCGGGTATCCTCTTACGAAGCTTCTGCGATCGGCATTGCCCTCAGTAGATGCACGCCAGAGCGATCGGACAACAACTTCACACCAAGTAAATGCCACAAGACGCTCTTTAATAGGTGTGTGCGCCAACACAGGGCAGCAGCCTGAGGGCGACCGTGTCTCTGGCGGCTCGGATTTGCCCAGCAAGGAAGTCGGCGATAAGCTCATCGAAGCGTACCATGCAAGGTTGCACCCCAAGCATCCCTTCCTGCCCCGTAGAAGAGTCCGGTCGCTACAAGAGGCTAGATTTGAGCTCATCCCAGCACATAAAGATGTGCGCTCAGAAGGTGTGCGGAGTGGATGCGACTATGCGACGTTGCAACTGGTGTATGCCATTGGAGCACGTTACTTGCAGCTGAGCAACGATGATGATCATTATTCATCTCCAAAGGTTAGGCTCTACACTAAGGAGAATCACAATGTCTGACTTGAGAGATCTAGCGACACTATGCCTGCGCCATAGCAGATACCAATTAAGGTCACCGACAGGTCCTGGCGTCTGGTAAGCAACCACCGCACAATCGGAGCACAATAGGTAACGGGCAGTCTAACTGTCATCAGGTGGATGATCGAGACAACCATGAGGTATTGCATCGATAACGGCCTCCATCGACAGGCCACCAACCTCCCTCCAAGCCTCGACGAGAGGCGAAAGCGCATCTTCTGGACGGCATACATGTTGGAGAGATCAGTCGCCCGGGCCATGGGCCGACCTCACTCTATTTCTGATAGAGATATTGGCGTCGCGCTCCCAGCCAATATCGACGAAGAACTGGACACTGACGAAGCCATCCTCGCAACCATTGCTGAGTCGAACCGATGTCCTCTTCGGATCACCGCACTCACGCCAGCTATTCATATCTTCCGGCTGCAGCAGATCGATTCCAAGATTTCACATACGGTATGTCGCGTGGACAAGAACGTTTCCGCGATAAAACCGCACAAAGTGGCTCGTCTTCGACAAGCTTTGGAAGAGTGGAAGGCTGGAATTCCTGAGACTGTCCCTGAGAACAAGCCACATCCTTACCTCACAACAGATTACCATATGATTCAATACCACAAAACCATCATACTCTTGACCCTTCCCTTCTTACCCACTCTCACCCCAGAGCCGACCTTCCACGAGATCGTCCACTCCGCTGGGCAGGTGTGCTCCTTGTCGAAACGCCTTCATGACCAGCAGACGTACATCTCCTTCACTTTGCTCTCGCTACATGCCAACTTTGTCGCCGGCTTGGTCATGGTCTACTGTTTCTGCCTAGATTCGCCAATATTCAGTCCCAAGTTCAGCAGTAGCGTGAGAGCGTGTAGCACGATGTTGTACATCATCTCCGAGCGCTAGCCGAGAGCGGTTCAGGCTCGAAAGTCGTTCGATCGTCTTGTCGCTGCTACGATAGAAAGTGACCACGAAACAAACGATGGTCTTTTGAGGTCTGTGGATAACCTACATGTGTCGCGGGACGGTTTTCAGCCTGGCTTTGTGGCAGACGAGTCTGGTTATCTAGAGACCTGGAATAGCTTTGAGTCGATACTTGGGGATCATGAGATTGATCTGGGAACTTGGATGCATGATAGCATCTTTGACACGACGGGCACGTTTCAGCCAATGGATTGGACAGAGTAGGTAAGCCGCAAATGTAGTCGTACAATTACAATATTTGCTTAGCTATATAGTGAATGGCCATATGCCTACGTCTTGCCACACATATTGGATGACGCCTCGGTTACGTCCCCATGGAGGTAATTGTGACGAGAAGAGTGTAATAAGAGGTGGCTGAGTTTACCAAGGAGTAAAAGCTCGGCAAAGTCTACCATCCTGTCGCTGGACCCAATCCTCACTACCAACACACTGAGGACACCACAAGAGGCCTTCAGGATCATACCTCTCCTTGATATCACGAAGTCGTGCGTAGTTTGGTCCCCAGAAAGACCACTGCCAGTCAGGCTCGATCGAGTTTGCCTTATTTCCAACAGTCAGCCAAGCGTGTCAAGAGTGATCATAGAGTGCCATCTTACCTCGTTCAAGTAGGCTCCTTGGGCAAGATCCAATTCCCTCAGCAATGTGAGCTTCCTATATGTCACATCGTGAATAATATTTCTGACTTCAGTATCGTTTGTGGAGTCAGTCCAGCTTTGACCTGTGATTAGATGGACGGTAGCGTTTCGCCAGGAGGGATGTAAAGAGTTGTTGACGGGCTTGGGACTGATGGTGAGGGTGCCCGATATAGAGAGGTTAGGCAAGCCATTCTAAGGATCTGTCAGCGCTCTGAAGGGGACAGGAGCATGGAGATGTCTGTACCAGTGGTGCTTCCTTGGTGGGACCGATCTTCTTATATACAGCTGCAAACTCTTCTGTCTTTGCCGTGACAGTCTGTCGCGAGATCAACCGAGAAGCTCTCATGCTATAACCTGCACTGACCGTCCCAATATCCGGTAAAACCTTGAGCAGTTCTGGCCAAGTGCTGACCGGAATCTTAGTCAAAGACCAAGTCACTGTCCTGTTGGATGCTTCAAGCATCTTTCTGAATGGCTCAATAGCATCGTCATAGGTCTTGTTAGAAATGTCAAACCCCATAAACGATCCACTGAAAGTCAACGCCTCAGCTTCTGGAGGACCTGTAACTGTATAGTAGCCATGGATACTAGCATCTTGAATCGCAGGGAAGAGTGCATGAGCATCTGAAATGACCTTGTAGAACTCCTCTTCCGAGGTCTGGTTCTTGATTCTGATGTCAAAGCCTCCAATGACCAGTTTCGGCGCGGGATAAGCCTTGACAGTTAGCTTTGTGATCACACCAAACGTGCCACCGCCACCGCCGCGAATAGCCCAATAGAGATCCTGGTTCTGGCACTGATTGGCAATCAACACTCTACCGGCTGGAGTAACAATCTCTGCCTCAAGAATGTTATCCGCTCCCTGGCCATATTTTCCGGTTGCAAATCCGTGACCGCCTCCAGTGGCCCAGCCAACGACTCCGACATCCTGTAGTAAAGGTCAGGCTAGAGGCATTGCGAACGAGGGATGAGACTCACATTGCTGGTACCGCCAACTGCCAACGCATTCTGTGCTGCCAAAGCTTCAAACATCTCACCATCTTGAACCCCGCCGCCAACAGTGGCTGCCATACGAGGGCTTGGGGCATCCTCAGCGTTGGGGCAAGTAAGGTTGAAATCTTCCCGCAGGTCGATGCTCTTCAGGTTATGGGTCCAGATCCTGAGAAAGTTGTTAGCATTGAGTCGCGCAGTGTATAATGACAGCTTCACTCACGATAGACTGCTACTTCCCAAGTTTCTAAAATACGTTAGCGGGCGTTCATACATAAAAAGCGACATGAGTCCTATTTTACCTTCCGTTACCAGCATGGCCTGTATTCTTGATGACTAATCGTATGTTGTGTTTGGCAGCAAACGCCAATGCTGCTATAACATGATCCGTCGTGGTGGCGTTGACGACGTAAGCAGGAAGCACTCCATTTAAACAACCTCGCTTGCCAGCGTTGGGATCGCCGTAGATGCTGGACCCATTATTATAGACTGGAGTGCAGCCAGCATTGGCCCATTCGGTGTGAAGACTGGCAGGATCGCTAGAGTGGAACTTTGACACGGGCCATTCCTCGATGACCTCATCACAGGCTTCGCGGTTGTAGTTAGGGTGTGACTTGTAACAAACAGCACCTGGCGGGATATATCTGATCAGATGTCCGTCAACCGTGGAGTTTAATGAGTTCCAGGTTTTTGTAGACGGCCAACAAGAATCGTGAATTATCTAAGAAACTGTTAGAGAGCGGACATGTCATGTGTAAAGTAACTTACACAACGGCATTGGTCCTCTGCAAGGGCAGCGGTAACAAATGATCCCACTACGGCAAGCGTAGGGAGGTAGAACTTCGATAAGAGGCGCATCTTAGGTTTCTTTGGGCAGCGTGTATAAAGATGGAATGAAAAGTTTCCTAAAAAAAAAAAAGGAGTGACTCCCATTATATATCAACGGAAAGATTATCCCTGAGGTCATTATGCTTGACGTTATGGTACATAATACGCGGAAGAGCCAATGCGAAAATTGGATAGATACGAAAATCCCCATAGAAAATACGAAAAATAACTGAATTTGGCTAGCATGGCCTCACCGCTGACGTTGCCCACGGTTTTAGCATTTCGGGCTGTGGAACTTCTGCCATGTAATACGCGTATAAGATGGTCGGGAATCACTAATGGCGGCAACACGTAATCAATCCACAGCCAAAGCGCAAGCTGATTTCAAGGCTGTTGTATTTCCCAAGACACAATCCCCCCTGCAGAAAATTCAGTAGAATTCTGAATAATAATGATCATCATTCAAATTCATGAAATGGTACGGGGCTCATATAAAGTTCATGCAGGGTTCTACGTGGTATGACAGACTCTAGGCCAAGCAGCCCGAAACGAGTGACCCTTTTCGCCATAGAGTTGAGACAAACATCCCCTTAAGACGCCGTTCAATAGCAAATCATTTTATAAGGGAAATAAAATAGAAAGATGCCCCCACTCCAAGAGTATGATTACCATTAGATACACGTAGTCCGCCCGCGGTCACATCATAGTGGCCAAACTAGATCCACCGTTAAAAGTATCCAAACAACCCAGCAATCATCACCACAAGCAAAGGAGGAAACACCCAATGCTGCGTCTCTCCACCTCCGATGATGATTCGGCTCACAAACCCATCAGTAATTGGCATAGCCAGCGCTGCGCTCAAGGCCTTGGCCATCAGCTTCTCATCTCCCGTGGTCCAGATGAGTGAAATCAACGCGCCGACAGTGATGTTGCGAATGCCCCAAATCCTCATGAGCGCGAGACTGAACTTTTTTGCCAAAGGTTCAGCTGGAACGGGGAATTCGAGGCGTTGAAGATGGTCGTTTGGGCGGAAGGTGGCGTTGAGACCGAGGCCGACTATCATGAGGCCTAGGCCGAGACTGCCATTGAAGATGATTGGGTGGGGCATTGTGATGTTGGGTGATTTAATGTGCAGTAGGCAGTGCGTAGCAAGGTTGGAGCAGTAGGGTAGGATTGAAGTCCAGTCTCTAAAGTGACAGGAATATTTTAAAATACTACGCCACCCCATGCACATTGGAGCGGCGA